GGGTACTTTCTACTAAACAAAACATATTTACATTCATTTAACCTCATAATTTTTATTTTGGGAAAGTAAGCAGGACATTTTCCTTCTATCTATTTAACAATTTGCAGTATTGAGGTTCAGGTTGTGTGTTTTGTTATGAGATTCCACAGCTAAAAAGTGTCACAGCATGTAAAAAACTCGGGTCTTCTTAACTCTGAAACAGCAGGTATTAAACTATGAAGGGAGCATATATTTGCTTTGTTGGGTAAGCTGAACTCTTTCTGTACAGGAAAGTGGAAGAGGAGAGTGGTGATCTACCCCCTCCAAGAACGGTGGGTTTTTTTGTTTGTTTGTTTTTGTTTTACTCAGATTGAATACTAAGTAACTTTATTTCTATAAAAATAGTAACTGCAAAATAATGCACCAGACACAACTTATACATATAAACTTTTAGAGCTGAAAAATACCTTCGAAGTTTGTTCATATCTCTAATTTTACAGCTGAGGAAACAAACCTGCCTAAAGTTTAATATTTCACTCTTTAATATTAGTGCTTGGTCTAGAAAGCTGGGTATCCCCAAGCACTTGCTCCCAATCCAAGCTTCCTCTACTTATAGCATAAAGACCATCCCTCCAAAACTATGGCACTAAAACAACTTTTCTATTTGCTCCTGGAGACCGAGAAAGGTTTTATATTGTCAAGAATGTTCGCAGGTTGCAGTAGTGAGAGGAACACATGCAGGTCTGTATGCCAGAGATGTAGCTATGGAGATGCCATGGATATATGGGTATTAATGCTTTCAGTTAGAGTTCGGAAAACACAAACACAGCTTGCCAGTTGCATTGCAAACAGTTACTCCCCAAGTGCTTCAGACAATTGGAGGGAAAATATTTTTCAGTATTTTTTTTCTTTATCCTATGGAGGAATAGTTAAGAGTGGCCAGCAGATGCCACTGTTGTCAGTTTTAAGTAAATTTTCCTGTTTCAAATAAAGATGAGTCATTACAGGGGTAAAAAAATGTGGCAAGTACGGTGTAACAAAATAGGCATGTGATCCTAAAATAAATGACAAAACTAGTGCACAGTTGGGTCTTCTTATTTACCTTTAAACAAAACATTTAAATAGACAGTTGGCAACTAAAACACAAGCTGAATTATTAGAAAAAAATTGAACAAGAGTCATTTGTGTTTGAAAATAATGTTTACAAATCAAAGTATATTGAGTGGTAGCTATATTTTCATAGCACAGAATATATCCTATCCTGATGTGTGACATCAAAGAATAAATAAAAATCAATTCTGTTCTTTTTAAATGATTGTGGCAACTTACAACATCTATATTTAGCAAAGCTGTACTAAGTTATGAATGAGTTTTCACTGGAAAATGTTGTATAGTGTGTTCACAAGAATGTTTGTAGGTGTCAAGTCTTTTATAGTAATTTAAAATATGTTGAACAATGTCACACCAATAAATTTAATAAATTTTTTTTTAAATAAAGTAGGTCTACTAAACTTACTCCTTGAGAAAAAGCATGCATGGTGGCTGTTGTTTACTTCTAGTCTGGCTCTTCATTTTTTAAAAACATCAATCCCACCAAATATCTCTAAATTATAGTTCATATAGATGTTTTCATATATCTTCTTGTGGAAGTGAATTGCTAAGTATTTTAATTTATTCATAATAAAATATTGAATCTCTACTGTGTAGACAACACTGATAGTTGCCATGAGAGATTCAGAATAAAGTAATATAGTTTTCATCATTAAGCGAAGAATATGATTGAGTAAAAAGTAAGGGTTTGTGTCTGGACAGATGTGCACTGTGCTAAAAAGTTTCTGCCATTATATAAAACTAGAGGCCCGATGCATGAAATTTGTGCAAGGGGCTCGGCCCACGCCTGCTGAGCTTCATCGGGAAGGACGTCTGGTCTAATTAGCATATTATGCTTTTATTATTCTAGATGATTTTTTTAAAAAATATATATATTTTATTGATTTTTTACAGAGAGGAAGGGAGAGGAATAGAGAGTTAGAAACATCGATGAGAGAGAAACATCGATCAGCTGCCTCCTGCACACTCCCCACTGCGGATGTGCCCGCAACCCAGGTACATGCCCTTGACCAGAATCGAACCTGGGACCCTTCAGTCCTCCGGCCGACGCTCTATCCACTGAGCCAAGCCGGTCAAGGCTATTCTAGATGATTTTTAAAATGGTGATGCTTCATAAGGTTGTTGTAAAGACTAAATTACGTCCTGATGTAAAGTGCCTCTCAGTATGTGGCATAAAATAGAAACTAAGCAAGTACTAGTTTTTACTCAAATAACCATCTTGGAGAGCAGGTAAGATGGGTGTTCAAAATCCTAATCACATACCAGGTAGAAAACAATAAGTGATGTAAGAATGGAAAACAATACATGAAGAATTTAAAATAAAATATTCCCAACAGAATCGTCCAGGAAATATTTATGGAGGAGGTCACAATGAGCTATTACTTGAGAGAAAGTCAAGCATTTATAGTGTAGAATAATATAAGGTTGAGAAAGAATGGTATATAAGAGGAAAACTAATTAACCATGACACCCCATCATCTTTCCTACCACTCGCTTATTTGAAATAAACTGAGTCTGTTTAGAAATTAAGTGGTGAAATTTCTGAATTTCATAATTGTACCATGGTTATGCAAGAGAATATCTTTTTTAAGTACATACTAAAGTATTATGGAATAAAAGTTCATGCAATAATCAACAACTCTCAAATTAAGAATATGTGGATAGATATGTTTGTGTATAAGTATACTATCCTATATAATAACCTACATAATAAAAGCCTAATATGCTAAGTGTCTGGTCGTCCAGTGACCGGTTGACCATTCAACCAATCAAAGCATAATATGCTAATGATATGCTAAGGTTGCTCATCCACTTGCTATGATGTGTACTGACCACCAGGGGGCAGACAGTCAACCAGTCGACCAGTCGCTATGATGTGTACTGACCACCAGGGGGAGGATGCTCTGACTGGTAGGTTAGCTTGCTGCTGGGGCCCAGCAGTTTGGGACTGAGCAAGATGGGCCAATCACACCCTGGAGCCCTCCCGTGGTCCCTTTCCTGCCCCAATCATGCACTGGTGGGGTCTCTCTGCTTGGCCTGTACCCTCTCACAATCTGGGAACCCTCAGGGGATGTCAGAGAGCCGGTTTCGGCCCAATCCCACAGGCCACTCCCCTCATGAGGGCACCTGATGCAGGGCTCATGGCTGGGGAGCGCTGCTGCAGTGCGAGCCTCTCCCAATCTGAACTCATTTGGCATGAGCCCACGGCAGGCACAGTGGGGCTGGGATGACGGGAGTGGCAGGCAGAAGCTGCAGGCAGTGTTGGACTGTGGTTTCAGCCCAATCCCCGCAGGGCCCCTGAGAGACCCCACACGTGCACGAATTTGTGCATCGGGCCTCAAGTACACATATTAAAAAAAGAGAGAATGATGTAGCAAATGTGACAAAATGTTAAATTCGTGATTTCAGCTAAAAGACATATGGTAGCTATTTGTACTATTCTTGCAATTTTTTGTAAGCTTTAAATTATGTCAACATTTATAGGTAAAGTTTAAAAATGTGAAGGTGAATTATGGACATTTTGATAAATGAAAGCTGGATTTGTGCCAGCCAACTCACACTATAAGAAATAATAGAAACCAAGATCTATAAGAAAGAATAAAGAGGGAAATAAATTTTAAAAGACACTTGATAAGCAAAAATTTATATGAAAATATATTTGGAGTTGGTAACAGTTGACATATATTGTGATAGAGCACTCGGGGGGGTCCCTCAGCCCCACTTGTGCCCTCTCACAGTCTGTGACCCCTCAGGATATAATGACCTGCTGGCTTAGGCCCCCTCCCGGGTGGCAGAGGGCAATCCCAATCCCTACGTGCCTGCCCGGCAGCCCTTGGTCGGGCTCAGAGCAGGGCCGATTGGGGAGTTGAGGCGCCTTCCCCTGTCACGAACAGAGCAGGGCAGATAGTGAGGTTGTGGCCCTGCCCCCTGTCACACACAGAGCTGCAGGGCACTCAGGGGGTTTGGGCGCTGCCCCCTGTCACGCTGATCCCGGTGCCGGGAGGCCTCATGGCTCCTTTTAAAATAAATTAAAAAATGAATGCAGCCGTATTGGGTTTGATTTTTATTTTGACTTTTAAACATCTTGGGGAGCTTTGGGCAGAATGAATAACGGAGAATCACTTTTGTAAGACACATGCATCAGAACCATTTGCTGTCAGTATCGATAAGTCCACACACACGTCTGCCTATCTGGGAAATGACAGGAGAAGAAACTTCAAATTGAAAAAAGGTTGACTTCATGCTATGCCGGCCGAGAAGTCGAGGTTTTCTCCTATCACAGTACAGGGCAGACTCGGGATTGTGGGGAATGGGAGTCAGTTATTGAAGGATTCCTGCCTTTGTGAGTGTGATTAGGCTGGCTATTTTTGTCTCCACAAAATTGAAAAGTCTCCGTGACTCAAGAATGGCACTGCTCTTCACTTATAATTAGAAGTGGCTCGTGATTAAAATGTTTTATTCAATCTGGATCCAACTCCATTTTATTACTGATATATATATATATATATATATCCATCCATCCCTGGGGCAAACAAAGAACTATATGTAATATATATAATATACTTTCTTGCCCCATTATATATAAATACAGTAGTAACCCTTGTTTGAATTGAAGCTTTTAAAGGTATTGCAAGTTTCTGTTAGCCTCCTGCTCATGTTACTTTTGCCATCAGAAGGGTGAACGGCTGTTTCCATCCCAACTGCAATAATTTCAATTAAAAATTCCTTAGAATTTATGAAGTAATTTTAGATTCAGACATTTTTAGTGAAGGATTCTTAAAGGAAAATGAAAACATGGTGTTAATGTATAACAAATATTTTTATTATTTAAATGTTTATAAATTTAAAGATTTTAATTATGAATGAAAACATTTATAGCAAATGTTACACATTTCATATTAATGTTTGTAACTGATTTAAGGCACATAGTGCAAAATACTTTATTTCTGATACAGAGATCCCTAAATGTTTAGCCACATTGGCACAAAATTGCTTCAGTACCTTATATGGTACAATATACCTCTAATAAATGTTTGGGGGAAAACTTTGTGGGTAAAATTAATCTATTATTAACTGATAAAATTCTATGAGTAGATTCAGTTTTGTTTTACAGAGTAGGTTTCCATATAACATATTATTTATCTATGATTAGTTTAAAAACCACATTATTATACAATACACAATTATCCACCTGAAAAAATTTAATACCTGAGAATTTGTCCAAGGATAGTTAATTTTTACAATCTTTTATGTTCTGGCTTTGAGAAATCTTAGGTATAAAATAACATGAACATCTCTTAACATGAACATCTCTAATAAAAATTTTGCACATGTAAAAATAATTTTCTTTATTGAATCTTCAAAATTTCAATAGTTCTCACTTCTGTATTTGTTTAATAAAATACAGTATAAACTTTGAGAAAATAGATTTTTAAGAGCAGATATATACACGTGAGAGTTATAAAGACATAGAGAGCGTACACATTAAATTAGAGGTAGGTGTTTTAAAATGCTATATTATACCTTCTTTTGTATTATACCCACAAAAGTTATTTAGTATTTAACCCAAGCATACATTTTTAGGATTTTTAAAATTTGAAGCACCATAATTCACAATGAAAGGAATATAAAACAAGGTATCTATGCTGTATCAGTAAGTATAATGGCTATGTACTTTTTCAAAGTAACTATTGATTTACTACTATTCACCTGACATGAAATAATGTTTATGGTAGTTTTAAATAAGTTCATTTTCCACTTAACAAGTAGAGCAAACATTTCATTGTACAGTAGACTACTGAGTAGAGGTTTACATGTATGTCTATAGGTTTAACTGTGGTCGAGTCCAAGCTGTTAACTGCAATATTATCTTGGTATAATTCATCCAGACATCCCTGCATATTCCACCATAAATAAGTACTTTTTAAAAAAATATCCTGATTAGAGTTATATACCTATTAAGTTGAAGGCCTTGAAAAAATTAAGTGGGGATTTGACTCCCTGGTGAGCACCCTAAACAAAGTCACAGACCTTTTGGACACGGAAATCTCAGGAAGGGAAGATGAAAGAAATGAGCACCGGTTATTTGCAGGTTTAAAGACTGTCTCCTCTTTGGGACACACTTCTCACTTCTGAATGCTCAGATCACTTGAATTGGGAGGCCAGTCGTCAGGTGAGGAACACACTTTCCACAAAACCCTCCACATCTGCCGTAGACTTTGGTTCCATCCTGAAAATAGGAAGAGGCAGAAACACAGGAGAATCTAATACATGCACAAGACAGAAAAAGCCTATTCGCCAAGGTTTCCTGTGACAATCACACTTGAGGTAAATGCCTTGTCAGGATTGGTGGTTAGGGCAATGAGATAACCCACCTGAGATACATATTAGCTTCTTGATTATTATATACCACACTATAATTTAGATGATTCATCTCAATCCACATATTTTTCATCCAGGCATCTATTTACTTTAGTGAGTTTAAGATTTTCATCGACTAAATAAAAGTTATTTGTAGAAATACAGCCTGAAGAAAGGTATAGAAGGGGGTGGGGGAAAATTGGACTGAAAGCTGTAATTAGAACTTTTTTTTTCCTTTTTAGTAAAGCAAAGCCATTCACAGAGGACTGATGGTCAGAGGTGGGTGAAAGGCATGGCCAGGACAAAGACAGATGTTATTTCTAGACTGCCTTCCATCTTTAAGTCCAAAAAACTGAAAACATTTTAATTGGATGAGGCAAAAATAGTTTAAACTCCTGCAATTTTTGGAAAGGTAAAGGTAAAGTTATTTTGTTGTTTTTGTGGTTTTTCTTTTAACCTAAAGAAGGATGTTTCCTGGAACATTTTGGGATGGATGTTTAGAGATCAGGGGTTTTCGAAATTGACTTTTGTTTCAGAAGATTTTTTAACTCTCAAGAATCTGAGTAAGCAGAAAAGTAGGGACTGGCAGTAAAAATTCTAATTTACATATGTTCCTATCCCAGATTAAGTAAAAACCTAACCTTGATTAAATCTATTGTGTTTGCATTCCCAGAAGTATATTTGGGTTTCAGTTTCACATCAGATTTCAGGAAAGACCTTCATGTGTAACATTTTGATGAAGGTAGACATTCTCAGTTAATTAATCTTTAGGATAGAATTAAATAGAAGCAAAAGGAATGAATGAATGAGATATTCATATCTACTGGTGATGTCAGCCAGAGTTCAGTCTTCACGTTTAACCAAAAAATATTTAAAAGATGTATGTATAAGGTCAGAATATTTCATTGAGCTCGATTGCTCAGAATATATGTTAATTAACTTATTCCCATTCTTCTACCAAAATGGATTAGACCTAAATATGCCAAATGCAAATAGCTCTTTATTTTAAATATGTTTTAAAAGCCTACAGCTTACCAATATGCAGAACAAAAATTTAATTCTTTATTAATTAAAATAATTTCAGTCTTCAGAAATAGAATGTTTAAACTCTATAGTATCAAAAAATTGAATTTTCTTTATAAATATTCATAAAAGTAGGAGCATGAAAGAACTCATTCTTATCAAAAGAAAGCAATCAAACAGTGGGCAGGGGTACTGATGGTGTTAATTTATGTACAATACAGGTAGGAACAGTAATAATGTAGATGCTAGTTTACTATGTAGACAGTCATGCTAAGACATGGTAACTCTAATAGGAGCCACCTCCTAAACTGTATGTGCTAGTACATCGTACCAGCAGCAAAATTAAATGGGTCCTATTTTAGAGAATGTACAGGGTGGGGCAAAAGTAGGTGTACAGTTGTGGGTACATGAAACAGTTTATTTTTGTATTATTTTTCATCCAAACCACTGTAAATCTACTTTTGGCCCATGCTGTATGTGTTAGAGGTGAATGCATAACATTGTTTTCTAGATAGAGGAAAATATGTATAAAAACCATAAAAATAGACTTAAAGAAAGCACTATAGAGGTTATGTTGTTAAATGACAAATGGCTGTAGCACCATCCCATCACTAAATCAAAGCAGTGAGATAAATAAACCACAAACTTACCTCTCACTCTGAAATATTAAAACCTACAAACCATTAAAGTTTAAAGCACTACCTCTTTCTGAAGTACCTGCCTTTCAAGTCATTAGCCCTAAACTTGAGCTGGATAAAATCTATATGCCCTGACATTATTATTTCATGCTCAGATATCTGTAGCCTGTATAAGAATTTATATGTTTATATAAAACCTACTTATTTACATACATAAAAATAAACTCTATCCCATAATTTCATAAATTAATGTTATATTCCATTATATGCAACAATGCAGTCACCAACCTCATATACTAGTAACTCTACATTGAGGTAGAGGCCCTTTCATGCAAGTTCACCGCATAGATGTATTTCAGAAAGGCCTCCTGGCCCAGCAGGACTTACTTGTGATCTGTGGATGACGACAGAGGCGTAACTGCCCTGAGCCAGCCACTTGGCAGTGCTGGATATCTTCATCCCAGTTC